TCTCATGAAAGAGATTTCTGTCTGGGATCATCAGGCATCTCTCCAGACATTTGCCCAGGCCTGACAAACATCATTATTTGAGATGACCTCTTCATGGCTGGTTTCTCTTCCTCTTCCAGACAGAAGAATTCTCTCATTACTGCACTGCATACAGCACTATTTTACTAGCTTTAATAAAAATTTATATTTATTTTTTTGGATTTTCCAATCTATATTTATGATTGTCTAATAATAGCTCTGCATGTATGTGTCCAAGATACATTTTACAAGTGACACAGAAACAGTATCTGTATTTCTCCAACCACATCTTTCAAGTACCAATAGAACTGTCCTATATGCAGGCTGTGTATGTATTACAAGTTTAAGCCCACATAATTCAGTTAAATTTATGGTCAGGAGACAACAGTGTATCACATTGCTTTGCAGGAAGTGCAGCCCCAGGCAGGCTAATACTAACATATAATCATGGCTTTCTGTTCATGGGTGCTCTCATGCAACTGATGGAGAATGTTTTCTGTGGGCAAAATCTAGACATATATTTGCAGACTGTAAACTCATACATAAATTTCAAGTAACATTAATTCAGTCCTCTTGTGTATATGCTTTGTTGTCTAGTGTTTTACTTGACCATAGAAGCATTTTCCAAAAGACCTCCAGCCTTCCACTCTTACCTTGGTCTCTATTGTTTGTTATGTTACTATCACTAAAAGCAGCACTTTGGGAAATTTCCCTCAAAAAATCACAGTTAAATGAAAGCATTCAGTCATGCTGTGCCAGCAGTACACTACGTTTGTGGTGACAGTGTTCCTTTACAGCAGAGACCTTTTCCTTCCCCTTGACTTTTGGGAAACACTATGTAGAGCAGAAGAAGTGTTCTGTGCATCCTCCACCAGATCAGAGAAGCACACGGAGATAGATAACATGGCATGCAAATCTGCTCAGTCACGGTGTCCAAGCAGCTGTGCTTCCTCATATGCACACAGGGAAGTTGCCCATGTGTTGTACTTCTTCCACTTTTTCAGCTACTCGCACCACCCCTTCAGCTACGAATTTCACTTCTAATGCATCTACAGGGAAGAGTAAACGAAATGTATCCCTCTGCTTTGAGCAATAATGTGCCTCCTGTGGCTTTCCTGGTCTAACTGGCTGAACCTGTTGCTGTCCCTTCCTTACCACAGGCTGACAAGCAGAAACATGAAAAATCTCTCACTCACTGCAGAGGAGAAAAAACTCAGGAGAACAGGAAGCTGAGTATGAAAGAAAGAAGGAAATAATGAAAAAGAAAGTAAAAAATGAAAGGCCTAAACTGAGGTCAGGTGAAGACAAACATTCAAGGGAAAAGGAAATAAAAATAGGAGGTAAAAAAAGAAAAAGAAGGCAAAAAGGGAAGTTATTAAAGACTTACAGTTGGTATGCTGAAAATAGAAGGGAGATAAGGCAAAATGGTGTTGTAGAGGAAGTGGAGGAGAGACTAACATGTGAAAGATTAGAAGAAGCAGTCTTGAAGGAAGAGAGATACAAAAGACATCAAGGATTAGAAAAAAAAGGAAGCTACAATGTTGTCTTAAAAGCTAAGATATTTCACCAACCCTTTGGTGTTTGTCATGTAATGATCATTAGGCTATTAAAAGTTCTGAAGCATTTCCAGTGAGCAGTTGGTTCCTTGAACCAACCTGCTGTTGGAAGCCAATATTCTGACATGTGGATAAATAGATAATTTAGAAAAGGAACCCAGGGATGGGCTGACTAATACCAACAAACAGCAACTGTTGAAAATAAATAGTTTTTATTCAGATCAAACTTTAGCCTTTGGATTGAGAGGATATAAAAAGCCTGTTTTGTAAGATACACATTTTCTCTTCCACATTCCTGAGACCTCCAGTGCAGAGAAACAAAAAAAAAAAAAAAACACCAAAACCAAATAGCATTTATTTTATATTTGAAATTTGAAATATGAAGCAGGTGTCTTATTTAAAGGCAACCAACCAGATAAGCTAGTTAATATGGTCCAAAATAACCCTTTCTTGGTCTCCCAGTGGAGGCAACTGAAGGCAAAATATAATGTTGTAATCCCAATTACTTTATCAGGTCAACAGCCCTTGTTCAATAGGGGGGTTTTGTTGACATTCAACTGACAAAAGGGAGCCAGTTAAAAAGTAGAATTACTTATAGAAGACCAAGTGACACCCAAATTTAGCTCACAATATGAAGATTACCTACCCTGCACCAGGCGGGTGTTGATTATTCTACAACCTCATACATGATGGATTTTACTGGACCAGAGAGACAAGACTGCAAATGACTGAATTTTTCCAAGCTGTTCCACACAGGTATCAGACAGCTTGAACAAAATTAATATTAATGAAATTAAGACAAAGTATTAGTTCAGGCAAGATCTAGTGCTATATGTTTGGCTCGATGTAATGTAATTAGTACTGATCAAACTATTAATCATGGCAAATTATCAGTCACATTTTGCCCTTGGTGTTTTTTAGTGACTCTTCTATGAACAGATCATGATTTTTATTGACTTCTTTGGTTCTGATGTTGGCTCATACTGCTCAAAATCAGTATGTGAGAAAAAAATTAACCTACAGGCTTCTTTTGTGCTGTTGATACCAAACTTGTATCCTTAAGTACCTGTATTCAGTTTATTAATAATAGTACAGATCGTCGTTTAGTTGTCTTATATGATAACTCCATCCCAGCCAAACCCAGAATATTGGTTTTACCAATTCACTTGTTTTTACCAAAAAAAAAAAAAAAAGGAATGAGGGAAGTAATTACTGTGTGACAGGTTGGGAATGAAGGCCCAAAGACTACATCTAAGCCTGAGGAAGAAAGCACCCATACTAGACCCTAGCAACATCCTTACGTAAGCATGTGACAATTCCATCCCTCCTTGTTTTTTGCAAGAAGAGTGAAACTTTGGCACTGGTCTGGGCAGAGATCTTCAGTGCATGCCAGACAAATCCCCTGTCTGAATGGACCATAGTGCACAAACCAACAGACATCAGTCTAGACAGAGTTAGAGAGGTTTACCAAAGTGCATAGTGATTAAAGTATCACTTTCTAATATACAGTCTAATATAAAAGAATAGTCTCATATTCATCTTCAACCTCTCAGTTAGTGACAATGTTTCTTTTTTGTCTCATTTCTTGACAGGAACCTGTGTTACCATTGCCACCCTCCATAAATAAAAATAAAAAAACTGAGTTACAGACTTTTCCTAGCTTATATTCTGATGTCATTACTGCTGAGAAAGTAAACACTAATTGGAACAATTATCATGAAGTTAATATAGCATAACAATTTAAATTAACAAAATTAAACCAAAATCACTAAACACAATTTTTCTCCAAGAGTGCTAGCTATTTTGCCTTATTTTGCCAAACAGCTATTATCTTCATCCACTCCCATCTACATTGCATACACCATCTTTGTATGACATGGAAGTAAGTATTCTCCAAGCCATTTGAAGAAGTTCGGATCATTTTACTGAAGCTATTGATTTAAAGCATAGCAAAGAAATTAGCATATGGAATAAATTGCTGTAGTATCAGAAGTAACTGATGATTGTTTGACAGATTAGTTGCCATATATTTTAACCACTACTTTCTTTCCACCTGGAGGCATTACTTCACTGTTAGTCGGATCTTTGCTTGGCTTTCCAGCCTGTGTACACACATGCTGTCCAGACAACCACATAATATTTCCGTTTTGGAGTGGCTGTCATTGTTCTCCAGCACAAAATAGTTCTGTTAAAGTATTTATATGATAAACAAATATTACAGCATGGAGACAATGCCACTGAGCCACACAACTTCATCCTTTTATTGCAAGCACAAACACCTGGGGTTGCGTGTTTCATTTGGAGAGTATGTTAGTAAAGATATTTTTTTCCTGGCACCTACAATCTGCATACATGGTACTGCATAGTCCTAAGGACTGGAAACTTATTTTATTTTGGGTTCTAACAATGTGTCTGTTTCAGAGAAGCTGTGGATACCCCATCCCTGGAAGTGTTCAAGGCCAGCTGGGATGGGGCTTTGAGCAACCTGGTCTACTGGAACGTGTGCCTGCCCATGGTGGTGGGGTTGGAATGAGGTGATCTTTAAGGTCCCTTCCAACCCAGGCCATTCTGTGATTCTATGACTATCTGGCACAATTTTTAAAACAACCAGAGAGAGATAAGAAGTATTTTACTAGAACAGTTTAGGAACTGGAGGGGAACAATTTTAGCTGTAGGTGTTTAATGGGTTTAATAGGAGTCCTGCAGATGAGCAGGTGATTTCTACCTGGTTGCCTGAGTGCACAACGCTACGTCACTGCTCCCTGTTTGCACAGGGCGAGTTCAGCACCACCCTTCCCATGCCCAGTCCCAGGCCTTACTGCAGGGCCTGTGAGCTCAGGGAGGTGGCTGGGGTGCAACACTCTGCACCCACAGGGCCCCTAGCCGGCTTCTGGTAACGGAGAGGCGACGGGGTGCCAGCATGTGTCACTAGAACTCTCCACTTGCCACGCATCCTGATAAAGCCCTCTCTGTCGTAACACGCTTTGCCGAACGCTGGGGAGAAAACCCGAGTGTTTTCAGAGACTTCATCGGGAGAAAACTTCGCTGCCACCACCACTAGAAGGGGGCAGAGGATGGCACCGGTGGGGAGCTGAAACTTCCCTGGTCCGAGCCCTCTTTCGAGGCTCAGCTCCCGCTACGGCCGCTACGGCCGCGACCCCGCTCCGCTCTCCCCGAGTGCTTCCAGCCCATCCCGCCCGCTCTGGCGGACGTGGAGCCGAGGTAGCTTCTGGGATACACGCAAACCTGCTCCTGCCGTGCTGTGCCCCGATTCCCACCCGGTATCCCGGAGCGGCGGGGCGGGCCAGGTCCGCCCCCTGCCCCTCCCCACCGCCCTCCCCCGGGCTGGTATAAGCCCGCGGAGTTTCCGCGTCCTGTGACTGCAGTCAGGTGGTGCCTGGGGTTCCCTTCTCCTTTCCTCCCTCTATCCTGCTCCGTCTTCCCCCGCCCGGGGAGGGCCGGCCCTGCAGGGAGCCGGCTGGAGAAAGTTGGAGGAAAGTTGCTAGCTGGGAAAGTTTAGAAGCGGGAGAGTCGCGGCCCCGGCAGCCCGGCCTCTCCGCCGCACTCCACGGGAGGGAGGGCCGAGGATGGCCGGCGGGGAAGGAGCGGGCTCCGGCGTGCCGGAGTGTCGGGAGCACCTCTTCAAGGTGCTGGTGATCGGGGAGCTGGGTGTGGGGAAAACCAGCATTATCAAGCGGTACGTGCACCAGCTCTTCTCCCAGCACTACCGGGCCACTATCGGCGTGGATTTCGCGCTCAAAGTCATCAATTGGGACAGCAAGACGCTGGTGCGGTTGCAGCTCTGGGATATAGCAGGTACGGGACGAGGCGGGCTTCTCCCTGCAGGGTGAGCCCCGAGGGTGCTGTGAACCTGGCTACTGGGGGCCCGAGTCACGGCCTCTGCGGACGGAAGTGTATTTTGACAGTGAAATCTGCTTTCTTGTTTTTCTCCTTCCCCCTGTTACATGCAACCTCTCTTGCCTGCCTTGAGGCATAAGTAGAGGGAGGTCTTGACGTGGGAGTGAAGTTTTTGGCTTTTTAGCAGCTCTGTGTGCTGATGTTAACTGATGTTGTGGGGCTCTTGGCTTGGCCCGGGGTTTTGTAGCAGTCCTCAAGCAGCTACTTTGCTCTGACTGCCGGATCCACAGCTCCCGGAGGGTTCCTGCTCGTATTGCTCTTCCTGACCTGCTTGTCTGGGCGCTAGTGGCCTTGGTTACAGCTACTGCTGAAATCAATTCATGGTTAAGGCTCTGTAATGCATCTATAAGAAATACATATCTTTTCCAAGTAGGTTATGTTTAGTAAGCATGCTTTACAGGTTAAAGGTGTAACTCAAATAGCTAAAATTGTCCTCAAAAGAAGTATGCTAAACTTTGTGTGTTTGGAACCACCTCCTTGATTTAAAAGTGACTTATGTCCCTGAAACGTGTTGTGAGGGAATGGAACTTCTGTTATGCTTAGCTCTACATTCAAATAACGAGTTTGTGTATTAGAAAGGTGCTTTGAGCATGTGGAAGCAGAAAAGCCCTGCTCACTTGTGCAAACTGTGCATCATTCCTTTCCTCTAGTTCAAAACTGTTCTTTAACACCTCCATTTCAAAGATTCCAACTGTATACCTACCATGGTTAACTTTTCTTATGCTGCAGTGTTAAATGCCATAGAACAATCTCTGTTTTGCTGTGTCCTTGTAAGAAGTCTGTCCTGTCAACTCCTTAATCACCTTGGTTGGTATTGTATTTCTGGTTTTGTGTGCAGCCCAGATGTGAACCTGCAGCTCTCTTCATCCGTGTCTGCCATGTTCAGAATATATCCAATTTTGGATATGAAAATGTATTTCAAATCCTGGTGTTTAAACTTACTCTACTGGAAGACACAAGTTAAAAAACCTGGTAGTTACTGTTTCCATTAACTCTGTGCCTTATCACTGGAAACTCAGAAATGAGGAAGTGTAATGTGTGGCTGCTGTAGCCCTGTGGCAGACCAGCTGTACATCAGCTTCTCTTCTTTCTGCTCTAAAACACTACAAATGTGATTCCTCAGACTAAAAAGCCTGCTTCTTACTGCCATATGCCGAAACACCCCATGTATCTTTCTGCTGCTGGCCTGTAGGGCCAATGAAAATGTTTTGTAACTGCTGTTTTGAAGAGCATGTAAAATGTTGGCAAGCTTTCTCTTCTGATGTGTTCCTTTTGTGGATCAGCTTTAACTTTCTGTAAATCAATTAACAGTATCAGTACAAGCTGCTGCAATCTCCTGGGTATATTTTAGCAAGTCTGGGGTTCCAAAGATAGAAGAAGGGAGGCTATCAGGATCCTGGGGTTTGGCAGGCTGCCATGCTTGCATTTGACTTCTTTTCAGTCCTTAATCACTGAGCCTGGGGGAGGCTGTATGTTTTTCCAAAGCAACCCATTTCAACAGGATAGGCAGAAACTTAGCTGTAACTTAGAACTTCCCAAAATGTAAATAGGTTCTTTGTTACATCAATATATCCATGTGTTAATTTCAAGATCCAGAAGACAGTATTTTTCACTCTTGATTATTACCCTTAGCGTGTTTTTGAAACTTATAGGTAAAGACTGAGTTAAGAGCTTCTAATTAATCCCTGGAAGCTTGTGCTAATATTTGATAGATCGAAGAAATACATTTTTTCCTGTCACTGAAATATTTTTCTTATTTCATAGTACTTTTGTATGAAGCCCCTGGCTAGTCTTTCCCTAGCAAAAATGGGAAGATACAACTGTTCTGCAATTTGCACTCCAAACTCTTAGTCTAATCTGGTAGTTCAGGCTATTCTGTTTTCAAGGGACTGAGGGTTCTTCCCCCAATAAAAAAAATAAGACCAAGAAGGGAAGTAATCTTAGACTTAATCATTTTTGATTGGCATGTGCTTAGCCAGCGTGAGAGTGACAATTCGGACTCCTATAGCACTTGACATCTCAGAGTTAATAATTGAAATAAAGAGTGTTTTAATATCCATATGAGTTATTTGATGGTCTTAAAACTGCTGAAGTCCTCAGCCTGGGATTGTGTCCTGAAGTTGTTTATGTACACAGTCAGGAATATTTCCAAATACCTGAAGATGTCAGCAGATTTATATTGAAGTTATTAGTTAAAAAACCAAGTTGAAGATGGCTTCTATATAGTCATAGAACATATTCTCTAAAGCACTTTATTGAAGTGTGTAGCACAGTGCCTGAGCATGTGATAGTCATTCCCTTTTAACTCATCAGCCCAACCGTCTTCTGGCTTTCAACAGCTCACGTAGATAATTTTGTCTTTTGGTGTGTGCAGTCAAACAGCTTTAGATCTCTTGAAGAGATCTGAATCTTATGGTAAGTAATGTTACATGTGACTTCCCTGCAAGCAATATGGTGCTGAATTGATTTTGATGCATTTAGAAAGGCTTCTGAATTAAAATCTAACCCTTATGCATAGAAAGAGAGATTACATGAGCCAGCAGGGTGCCCAGGTGACTAAGAAGGCCAATGACATCCTGGCCTGGATCAGGAACAGTGTGGCCAGCAGGACCAGGAAAGCGATTCTTCCCCTGTACTCAGTGCTGGTGAGGCCACACCTGGAGTACTGTGTCCAGTTCTGGGCCCCTCAGTTCAGGAAGGATATTGAGGTGCTGGAGCAGGTCCAGAGAAGAGCAACAAGGCTGGTGAAGGGACTCGAGCACAAGTCCTGTGAGGAGAGGCTGAGGGAGCTGGGGTTGCTTAGCCTGGAGAAGGCTCAGGGGAGACCTCCTCACTCTCTACAACTACCTGAAAGGAAGTTGTAGCCAGATGGGTGTCAATCTTTTCTCCCAGGCAACCAGCATTAGGACAAGAGGGCATGGTCTTCAGCTGTGCCAGAGGAGGTTTACGTTGGGTATTAGGAAGAAATTTTTTACAGAGAGGGGAATCAGGCATTGGAATGGGCTGCCCAGGGAGGTGGTGGATTCACCATCCCTGGAGGTTCTTAAGATGAGACTGGATTTGGCACTTAGTGCCATGGTCTAGTAACCACGGTGGTGTTGGATCAAGGGTTGGACTTGATGATCTCAGAGGTCTTTTCCAACACGGTCAATTCTATGACTGATGATGATGCTTATTTTTCACTAGATCAGTGTACATAACAGTTCATCATAAAAAGGTCTCCTTAAAGACCTGGGTGCAGCAATCTAAGGTTTTGTACTTAAGTCAATGCTAAGAACTGACTATGTAGTTCATTCATTAGCTTAAGACCATATTGCAGATACTGTGCTATGTTGTGCTGTGTATTGCAATGCAGCAGGTTCCTGGGTGACTTGACTTTCTTGTGCTAGCTGAGGATTTTTTTTTTTTATTTGTTTTTGTTTTTTTTTTTTTTTTTTTTTTTTTTTTTTTTTTTTTTTTTTTTTTTTTTGTTTTGTTTTTTTTTTTTTTTTTTTGTTTTTTTTTTTTTTTTTTTTTTTTTTTGTTTTTTTTTGTTTTTTTTTTGTTTTTTGTTTTTTTTTTTTTTTTTGTTTTTTGGTTTTTTTTTTTTTGGTGTTTTTTGGGTTTTTTTTGTTTTTTTTTGTTTTTTTTTTTTTAGTGATAAGATAATTCTGTCAAATGGAGCATGACAATGGTACACTGCCTATGTTATTGTTTTTTTCTGAAAATAGCTGCCTTGTAAGGTACAAACTAATGCAAATTTTTGCAGCAGCAGCAGCAAAAGGGAGGGGATGTGAAGTGATGAAGGGAGAGGAAGCGTACTGTTGTACATAGACTTATGTATTTCAGAGTTACGCATTTTAGTTTTTAGACACCAATTGTAACTTCTTGAATAATGGACATGAAAAAGCTTGGGAGTAAGACTGATCAGTCACTGTCAAATTATCTTGGTTACAGCATGAAGTATTCTGAAAAAAGCTGGATAGATTACATGCATGTTCATACAGGAGCAAAGCTAAACCTTAGCTGCCCTTAGGCATTACTCCTGGGTGTTTTGTTTGGTTGTTATATTTTTATTTTTTTTTTTACATCTTGATGTGTGAAGTAGTGATCAATTTCTCTTTCTGGATAAATTCTGAAAGTGTTAGAAACAGGTTAACTGCCTTGATCAAAGGGCAAAATAAATAGGACATAGGAATGAGTCATAGGAATGGTAAAGAGATGCAAAACAAAGAAATCCTAATGATACGGAAGCTCTTTTATAGTCTGTTTCAATACACTAGAGATTGCTACTTGACAAACATGCTGTGTTAATGAGTATACTGCGCTGACCACAATGTGGTCAGGAGGTGTATCTAGCCTATTGATGAAACTTAGGTGATACTGAGAGAACACTTTAAGGATTTTCTATATCATAGAAACTTTTGATCTGATCTAATGAAACCAGCAACTGAGTAGCATTAGCTGCTGCTTTATGATCACATTGACTATCACTGTCACTCACATCAGCCTGTACAAACATGCAAATTGCTGGACGGCAGGAGTGGTAAAGATCATAGATGACCACTTGAGCTTGGCTTCTCATGAAGGATGCCACTAATGGCAACTGGTAGACAAATTTGATTTTAAAGCTTTGGCTGAGCAATTTTGAATTAACTTCAGTGTAATAGCATCCTTCTTCCAGGACTGTATTAGAATTTCCTTGTAAAAATATTTATTTAAAATGAAGTAATGCTTTAAGTGGAAGACTGTGGCTATGAAATAGACCAAACAGAAGAGGAGGTACTGTAGTTTGGTGGTCTAAATTTGCTCTACATGCTTTCGGGAGTTGAATGATAAGACTTGTAGCATGCAAATTTGTTACTAAAACCTTGTTTGTCTCCTTGAGAAGATCTGAACTCTAACTAAAGGTATATACC